CAACGTGGATGTCCTGAAACAAAAATTTTCAAATTTCCCTAGTTAAAGAAAATGTGGGGAGAGTCTTGTAAAATTCAGTTGTAATTTTCACAAGTAGGGCTCCCAATGATGTGTATTGCTTATGTTTCAGCACTGGCATAAGCCACATGTTGTTAATGTTAAGGGCTGCCAGTTGCCTAAACATATGTGACCCATATTGAGTTACTGAGAACTTCATCCTAGCTGCCCTGAAGCCTTCAACTTGACATTCAGCATAAACTGGGTGAATCAGTGTGCAAATAGATTAATTGGACTGTTTTCATCTGCCTCTGTCAACTGAGTCTTTGCAGAATTTGACAAAGTTTGATGTGATGAGTGGGCAAGAAGATCAAGGGCAAGGTGCTGGGCATATGGATAACTAAAAGAGCCAGATCAAACACCCAGGGAGCCCGGGAGCCACCTGGGGCCTAAAGCTTCCTCTCTTCTGCTACACCCCAAAGAACCCCCACTCAGGCCATTGGTAGACAGTGCTTCTGTGCTGTCAGATTGCTGTCTGGAGCCCCAGGGACTGAATATTCAAAACTAGTTTCTGAGTCAGGAATGTAGAATTGTTCCTTTCACTATGACATTTGGTTAAGGAGCGAAATGTCATTGAGACAAACAGCCTTGAAGTGATGCCACTCCGTGTTTGAAGACTTTGTTCTCCTTCATTCAATTTCCTTTAGGTACCACGGTGAGAAGCTCCAGACTTACATCAAGCCCAAGAGACCTTGCAGGGACAACCACATTCTCATCTCCACCATTTATGATGACCCCCATCCTGTGGACGCAGGGGAGCAGCTGCTCCGGCGCCCGCTGACAATCAGCATGAAGTATCGGCAAGACGTGCCGTTTGTCCATGCTGCTCACAGTGTGCATCACAGCTCCAGTTCCTCATGAGATGCACAGTGGCCTGTCAGCAAAGACTGGTGTTTTGGGAACTTTGTGTCTTTTTCTTTTCAATTAAGTTTATATTAAAGAAAACAATACACATAGTCTTGTAGAATCCTGTAAATTAGTGGGCCAGTGCTCATTAAAAAAATCCAATTTTAACACATGTTTCACATGATCCTTCTTTCATTCTTTTCTAATAAGTCCTTTTTGATAAGAGTGGCAAGTTCCAAATTCATGGCACTAAGGTTGGATTCTTTGATTTCCAAAGCCTTGTTAGACATATTTGTGCTGCAGTCATTGAAGATGTAAATGGTTCTCTTCTTAAACAATTCTGACAGGAGCCCCTTGAGTTCCAAGATTGTTCATACACAAGGCCCTTTTTATTATGGTTTATGGTCCCCCCAAATCTGAGCAAAATGTTACTGTGTTGGGGTTTGCTTTGAAGGCTAGGCATACAGATGTGTGTTTATGGATCACCACAGCCTCTGTAGGTTTTACAGATTCTGCCCTGTAGCAGTTCAACATTAAATCTAAACTTATCTTTACCAAAGGAATATCCTCTGTAATCCTTGCAATTTGCAAAGGCCCTCTTGTTTTCAGCATGAAATAGATGGGATAATATGTGAAAATGTTGTGTTACAGAAGGAAGGGGGGTGATAGTGTCTTTCCTTGCTGGCAAACTCCCTTAGACCAAGGGTTCCCTAGAAAGCATGCTGGTAACCAGCCACCACCAGTCATGGACTTCATGACATCTAAACTGACCTGCTGAGAAGGTATTCTCCTAGCGCTGTCCTAGAGAAACAACAAATTGACAGGGTAGAAACACTAGAAAATACCTTATAACTAACTATGTAGCACCTCTGCGATCTAGCATGTGAGAAGAGATTAGGAGAAATATCCCTGAGAAGTAAATTGCACTAAGCAAAACCAAAAAATTTCTTTATAAAAATGTCTATTAGAAAAGAGAGAGAAAAAGGGCAATTGGATTCACAAGAATGGTGGGGAAAGGACAGAACAAAAATACAGGGAAGGCACACAGCACAAATATTTTCAAATAAAAGGCAATAAAGTTGGACAAACTCCGCTAAGTACACATTACCTAGGCTACAGAGGGTTTGTCAAAGCATGTGCAGAGTTCCTTGCAGTAACAAGATGCTGGAGGAGTCCTCAGCCCCTACCCACTCTCCTGTGGAGCCCAGTTTCCACTGAAGACAAGGGAAAGGTCCAGATATTTATGGTCAATGCAATGGGATCTAAGCCAGCTTCTATGAATGGTTAGCTGATTTAGCAAATCTCATGCAAAACCCCATCTCTGATGTCAGAGGCTACTGCTACCAATCAGAGACTTATAAAATATAGTCCCACCTCCATCAAGCATCTGGTAATGGCTCTGAACGTTCATGAGAAATAGGTGGTCTGACCCAAACCAGACTGTTCTTTGTCCAAATGGGCTTAACTCTGACAGAGTCAGCATGCGAGATTTGTAGTTGATTGTGAATCTGAGAACAAGTCTACCTGGTGAAGATCCTGTGCTGTCCACTAATACTGGCTCCTTGAGCTGCTGGTAGAATACTCTACTTAAAAGAGTTGTGCCATCAGCCTAAATTCTTTGGTATCATGTGCTCTCTTCTCTCTTGAAACTGATTGAAGGAATTGCCCAGAATCCTGAAGCCACCATCTGCAGTCTTCCAGCTGCCTGTCCAAAAAGGATGATGTTATTTGCACAGCTTCAGGACATTTTAAAAGCTCTTCTATGAAACACTGAGGACTAGAAACATGGATTTAAAAGAGTTGTTATATCTAGTAGTACAGCACTCTATGAGCAGCTGGGAGTAACAATTCTAGAAGCCTCTGGAAAGGTCGTTTCTGATTTCAGATGCCCCAAGTCTGCACCTCCTTCCATTGAGTACAGAGGCTGCCATCAGACACCAGTTTTAGCAATTATTAAATGTGAATGTGCCTGAATCCAGCTTACTTCTAGGCTTGTTGCTCCTCCTTGTGGAGAGCATGGTAAAGGAATTCTAGCGTATGAGTATCCCATGTTGTATGAATGCAGGCTTAAGCAAGGTTCTCCACGATTTCTAAACCAGATTTAATCCATGTTTGCCAAATTTATGCACTAAGTTGAAACCATTTTTAAAACCTGGATATTATCTTAATCATTTGTCGGATTCTAGGTCTAATACTTACTAAATACTTAAATGCTAGTGGAAATTTCAGTTTCATGCTTAATGTTGGCTTGGTGTGCTGTACTGTCTAATGTGACCAGCATCTCTTAATACTTTCAAAGGCTTGTTTACATTATTATTCCCACAGTTCTTGGCCCCCCAGCTGTTTTTCCACTTTGATTACGTAAATAGTTCTTTGAATTTTTTTAAAAAACAATTCATTTAAAGTATTTGTAGTACCCAGGTTTTTATTCAAAGTTCCTTTACAAAATAACATGTATGGGGTGTGAAAGACAGGGAGAAAGTTAATTCATTTGAATTGTGTGTTGGAGGAGGGTTTTACGGATACCGTGGACTGACAAAAAGACAAATGAGTGGGTTCTAGATCAAATCAAGCCTGACCTCTCCCTAGATGCTAAAATGAGTAAACTGAGGCTATCGTACTTCAATCCCATTATCAGAAGACGAGTCACTGGAAAAGAAAATAAGGCTAAGAAATTTGAGGGCAGCAGGAAAAGAGTCAGACCCAACATGAGATGGATTGACTCAGGTAAGGAAGCCACGGTCCTCAGTTTGCAAGACCTGAGCAAGGCTGTTAACGATAGGACATTTTGGAGGACATTAATTTATAAAAGGGAAAGGTTTCCCTTGCTCGAAAGCTAGTCAAATCCGACTCTAGGGGGTGGTGTTCATCTCCATTTCCAAGCCGGAGATCCAGCGCTGTCTGAAAGCTTCTCCGTGGTCATGTGGCCAGCATGACGAAACACCGAGACACACAGAATGCTGTTACCTTCCCACCAAAGCGGTACCTATTTATCTACTTGCAATTTCTTGCTTTTGAACTGCTAGTTTGGCAGGAGCTGGGGCCAGAGATGGGAGCTCATTCAGTCATGTGGTACTAGGGTCTCAAACTGCCAAACTACAGAACTTCCAGTCTGCAGCTCAGCGTCTTAACCTCTGAGCCCTTGACGGCACTTAACACACACACACACATACACATAGTACTAACACAGACTAAACATTTCAGATGCACTCTTAAAACATCCTGGATGTGGACACTTAAAAGAACATAATGTATAGAGTGGCTAGGGTTGCCAACCTCTAGGTTAGGGTTGCCAGTTCCCTACTTCTTCACAGCTGGGGGCTCCAGGCTTCTCTCCTGGATGTTCCTGCACGCGCCACGATGACATCTCCCAAGTGACATCATCGTGCTACGCATGTCACAGGGGGCGTTCTAGTGTTTGGCCAAAAACTCTATGGTCACCATAGAGTTTTTGGATGAATGCTAGAGAGTTCCCCCTGCGACGTGCCTAGTGCAATGATGTCATCTCCAGGTGACATCATTGAGCTGGGCACATTGGATCTGCGTAGCTCTTCGGGGGTGGGGCTCCCCCCACCAGCCAGCTGGACCTCAGGGGCCAGATCGAGGGGTCTGAAATCAGGAAAAACCCCGCCCCCATTGGGGGTATGGCAACCCTACTCCTGGTGGACCCTGGAGTTCTCCTGGAATTGCAACTGATCTCCAGACTACAGACATCAGTTCCACTGGAGAAAATTGCTGGTTTTGAGGATGAACTCAGCATCATACCCTGCTGAGGTCCCTCCCCAGGCCCTACCCCCAAACTCCAGGAATTTCCCTACCTGGAGCTGGCAACCCTAGGAGCTGGCTCATGTTGACAACTAAGTGGCAGAGTTTCTTCTACTAATCAAATGGAGGACAATTTCCACGCTAATTTGGCCAAGTAGGATTCAGAAATAGTTGTAATTTCCTTCTGTGCCCTCCTGGGGGCGCGCAAAACCGGAATAAGTTCCATCTTCGCCACTTCTTCCCCGAGAGGGCGCTCCCTGCCTACTTTATAGTGAGGTCTTTCAGAGTCCCCAAGTGCGCCTGGGATCTTTGTAGCGTCGGCCTCCTGTTTCTGCACGGACTGGGACAACGATGGCATGTTAGGCCTCTCCCCACAGAGATACTGAAGGCTAGAGCGGTACCGCTCTGCGACTATGGAGACTCATGGCCAATTTTTACCCGAAGCGCGCCCTATATAGCCTTTTTTGTCGTCGTTGTTAGTGTGCGTGAGTAAAACAAGTCTATGTGGCAGCTACTTGGGAGAGGTGAGTTGTGTTTACTCCGGCTTCTTCTTGCCGCCTCCCCGCCCTTGTGTGGGTTTTTTTATTTGTTCCCCCGTTCGTTTAATGGCAACATAACGCCTTTCCCTTGAGCGTTAATATGTTCGCAAGGTGGCCCTGTGTGGAATGCGTTTATTTCAACTCGCGTGCCTTTTCATATGCCTTCCAGCACTTCCATTGGGTTCCCACACACAGCTGTGAGCCCCATTGAGCCCCCACAAGTAGCCTCTTCGGTTTATGCCATTTCCGTCTCCCCTTCAGAGAATGCTTAAGCCGTCTCAGAAACTACTGGAGAAAATCCCAAAGAAATCGGAAGTCTCCCGGACAGAATCAACCATCACAACAATAGAGATTATACTTAGGTTATTGTTTATTTAATATATATTCTGCTGCTGCTCTGACAACACCTAAATGTTTTAACAGGTGGGTCAGAAAGCCAAGAAGGAGGAGGTGGAAATAGGTGAACTGTGCAAAATATAGGCTTTGACAGCTGCAAAATGTGAGAAACGACGATGGTTATCGCAGCCTGTTTTCAATGATGAAATGTATTGATAAATTTGAACAATGGAAAGTTTATACTTTATGAAATGTATGAATGTGTTCCGCATTGCTAGATGCGAAATTCTCTTGTGTTTTATGTTGGAGAGGTGGGAAGTAGCATGGAGAAATTTTACAAGTGGTTTTGTAAAGCAGATCCCATTAATAAAAATGTGGTGAACACTGCTGCACTGCTTCAAATGGAGTTCTGTGTTGGTGTGAACTAGGAATGGTGCTTGATGCGAATGGTGCATTGTACAGCCCTTTCCTTTCAGTCCCTGTGCAATGCTAAGCAGAGTCATTCCCTAATACGTCCTTTGAAGTCGGCTTAGGACTGCAGTGTTAATATCTCAGTTGCCAAGCAGGGAGGGACTGGATTGTTTAGCTATATTGTAAACTCCTGGCATCTTATATGTATGAGCTGTTTTGGTGTATCTTGTTTATCAGTGTGGGCAACTACACCCATTGAGCATTGTGTGTGTCTATGCCTCTTAAGATGTTTTGAATGTGCTTCTTAATATAGAGAGTAAATGTAGCTCCACTCTCTAGGCAGCCAGAACTGGCTGTATTATCTGAAGCAATGGAAAAACATGAATCCGAATTTTCTGGAAAATCTTCCAATGCCCTAAATAGGGAGCAATTTGATTATAGCAATATATAGATTATATATATTTATTTGGACATATATTTAGTAAACAACATTTTAAAAGCACCAACGTCCATTTTATATCTGAATAGCAACAAATACTTGAACTGAAGTAGGCAAAAAATGTTTTAAATGTTTCTACGTAAACAAACTGAAAGGTAGATGTGGCAGTTTTTAATAGGAATCATACCTGTAAAAATTAAAGACAACATAGCATGTACTTCTCTTATATTGTTTAAATTAAAAAAAAAATACCAAAGACCCCGAAACCTGTTGACATACTAATTTCACCACACCCATGATATGCTGCAAACATGGTTGTCTACTCATCCGTTTCAACACTCTTGTTCATGGATGTCTCTAGGATATCTCTTCATGTGCGTTACTTGTTCAATATCAGATTGGAGGTTTCCATCATTTGAAGGGAAATGTATACATAAGAATTTCAGCTTTGATTTGAATTTCACCTGCATAGCCAATCCAATGAAATCATAATTTGATTTGTTAAAATTAGGACTGTGGTATGGATTTGTGGTTTTATCCTACCCCCATCCCTATTTTGCAGATCAATAAAACATCCATGTGCTCCCTCACACGATTTCTAGGTATAATCACCTGGGGGGGGGGGGATTCATTGCAGCTTGGAAACTGCCAAGATTGCGTAATACTGTATTGGCAATTACATCCATTCATTGTTATTCATTTTATGAAATGCTAAATCTTTAGAAATGGAAAATTTTCCACTTTGTGTCTCTAAGCTAGCTATGTTTTTTCTCTGAGCAGTGTATGAAATGATCCATGTGAACAAGTGTTGCTCTTTGCGTTGCCCTTTTATAGGAGGAGAAAGAAACACCGGCCATGTCAAAAAGCCACAAGCAGTCTTCACTGGCCTTTGGGCAGACAGTGATTGGACCTCCTGGATCAGGGAAAACAACGTACTGTCTTGGCATGCAGGAATTCCTTTCTGCAATTGGGCGCAAGGTAGCGGTGGTGAATCTGGATCCAGCCAACGAAGGGATTCCCTACCAGTGCGCTGTGGATATATCTGAGCTGATTACCTTGACTGATGAAATAGAGAACTTGAAACTGGGACCCAATGGTGGCTTAAAATCTATTGCATGGAGTATCTAGAAGCTAATTTTGACTTGCTGCAAAAAAAACTGTCTCAGTTTAGGGGCCATTACTTCTTGTTTGACTGCCCAGAACAGGTAGAACTTTGCACCCAACATAGTTCACTGACAAACATCTTTGCCCAGCTTGCCAAGTGGAACTTCAGGGTATGTATGGGATGAACAATAAAATAAATTAATCTGTTAAAGCTTTTCAGGGTGGAGGGTGCAGGAAGCGAAAATTTCTGGAGGCCGAGCTGCAAGGTAGAATTGATCCCAGTACATGTTACCAGTTGTGGTGTGGTATCATTTGAAACTGCAAATCGTGTGTATAAAGTGGTTCAGGATATATGAATTATACCATTACAGATCCTCTGTTTTTAAGGATTGTGTAGGCTAGTGAAAATTGCCACCAACTGCAATGGTGAGATGCTTCCACACCATAACATTACCAAGTAGTACCTTGCCATAGAGATTCATGGGTGAACTGGAGCCCCTTAGGTTTTCTTTCTTCCATCTTTCATGTCCAAGGATGAGCTTCCTTTGTAAACCTTCCACACCCGCCCTGCTGTTGGTCTTGCTCAGATTCAGCCTTAGCTGGCTTGACTGCATCCGCTGTCCTCTGATAGCTTAAGTGCTGGAGATTTGAAATAGGACCAGATCCAGTGTGGTTTAATGGTTAGAATGTCAGACTAGTGTTCAAATCTCCACTTAAACAGAGCTCACTGGGAGACTTTGGGCTGATTGCTCTCTCCACAGGATTTTGAGCAGGTAAATGAGAGCGGGGAGAACCATGTAAACCCAAAGCCTTTATCTCTCTCAAGGAGGTGCTGGAGGACAACATGGAGCCTTTATGCCAAGAATGAGTCAATACCACTCAGGCAGGGCCAGGCCCTGCAAACTGGTCATCAACACCTGGAGAGTAGTTTCAAAGAAGGAGCTTATACATTCAGCAGGGTGCCTCTGTGGTTCAGTGTTGCCTTCAGAGCAAACATCAAGGCAGATAGAGGGGTTCAGGAAACTACTAGCCACGATGAGTAAAGCGAATCTACGGCTGCGGTCACACGGAGCATTAGCCACGCTACAGAGACGGAAGATAGGCGGATTTTCCGGGCGCGATCAAACCGCAACATCTGGGAAGCGTAGAGCTCCCATGGCGAACCCGAGGCTTCCCGCCAAAGATGCACCGTAAAAAACTAGTACCTCCGAGGTACTCGTTTCCGGAAACTGCGGGGCAAGAGCGGGCGTCTGATCACGTTTCCGGTGGTAGCTCGTGGCATCCAGCGCCCAGCCATGTCCCGTCGCGAAAAGGTTTTTTTTTTTCAAGTCTCCACGGGATGCGCACAAGCACCCAACGGCGCATGCGCACACTTCGGTTTAAAAAAACACAACCCCCGCCACGCCGCTTCTTTGCTGCGCTGCAGGATTCATATACGATCGGCACCTCCCCCCGACCCACGGGACGTCAGCTGGACGTTTGATCCGGCAGCCGTGCGGTAGTTCGCTCCGGGGCAAACAGCCATGCCTCCCCCCCCCCCGGCGATATCCGGCCCATGTGACCGGGGCCTATATGTTCCGTGGCACTAAACCTCTGAGAACCACGGTTAGGAGGCAAGTAAACACCAACGGGTAGGAGGGAGGGCCTCAGCCTCTATGTTCTGTTTCTTGAGCCTCCAGGGCAACTGGTTGGCCACTGTGCGAGAAAGAATGCTGGACTAGATGGCCTGATCCAGCAGGGCTCTGCTTATGTACTTAGAACGTTGTCCTGGTGTGTCTGCGTAGCAATTGTATAATCAACAGCTTGAATACAGGTGGAAAAGTAGGAAAACAGGTGTGGGAGCTGGCATCCAGATTTGATTTGGATCTTTTAACTCTGTGGTCTTGAGACAGGCTGGCATCCTGCATGCCCTTAAAGATGCAACAGTTGCCTCAGACATTAACAAACCTAGCTTCTCCCAGCTGGCTTTCTTTGGCTAGGATTGGCAGTGCACACCCAGGGCAGGGGGAGGAGTTGCCTACCATCCAGCATGAGTATCCTTTTGCTCCAGTGGGTAACAAATAAATCCGATCCAAAGAAAAGGGCCTTTGGCGGGCCAGGCTGTGATTCTGTGCCTGAACTGGCAGTCCCCCAACTCAGAGAGAATAAATTCAGGCTTCATGGATGGACCTGCTTTAACTGATCTGCTGTCTTGATGAGGGGATGCAGAAGGACTCTTGAAAGCTTGAGTGCAGTGACCAAACTGTAAGAACTCCATTCACCATATAAGCCAGTGTAGTGTAGTGACTGGAGTATTGTCTTTTTTAAAAAAATAATTTATTTATCATTTTCCATTACAAAAAAGTAAACAAAATATACAATCTTTACAACACATTTTTTGGGAGTTTTCCTTATATATTTTGCTTTATCCATCTATCTATTTTTTGCCATCTTTTTTTGAATATTTTTTCTTCTTTTCCTGCTAGTATCATATTTATCTTATCCATTTCTTTTATTTCCAAAATTTTCATAGTTAATTCTTCTCTGTTTGGTATTCTATCTGATTTCCAACATTTCGCTATAAGTATTCTAGACATAGTCAATATATATAGTATCAAACATGAATCGTTATAATTTATCCCATCTGGTAACATATTGAGTAGATATACTTCTGGTTCTAACTTTAGATCTATTTCCGTTATTTCTAATATTGCTTGTTTTATAGTTTTCCAAAATTTATTTATCTTTTCACATCTCCACCATATGTGATAATATGACCCAATGTTTTTTTTACATCTCCAACAATTCCCTGAACTGCTTTTATAGCACTTAGCGATCTTTTCAGGAGTCCAATGCCACCTATAGCACATTTTAAAGATATTTTCTTTATATGCTGTGGCTCTTAATAATTTTGTTGATTTCCACATTTTTAACCATTTGTCTAAACTTATATTATGCCCCAAGTCTTTCATCCAGGCTTTCATACATGGTTTTATTATTTCCTCTTGCATCTCATTACTTAATAAGAAGTTATATAACTTCTGTATCATTTTGTCTGCTGATGTGACTGGAGTATTGTCGTAGGATCTGAGAGACCCAGGTTCAAATCCCTGCTCTGCCGTGGGAGCTTACTGGCTGACCTTAGACCTGTTTTAGCCTAATCTGCCTCACAAGGTAATATGGAGAATGTTATAAGTGACTTTGGGTCCCCATTGGGGAGAAAAGGGCAGTATAATTGAAATAAATATATAACCATTTCCTAGACAGGTGCAAAGAAATCCAAAGGAAGTTTTCTGATCTGTAATGGGCCAATTACTTGGAACAGATCCCTGTTTGCCAAGTCCTCAGCCATTCTGGAGGAGCTTGGCTTAGGTTGTACAATAAACAGTCAGAACCAGGAGATCATGACATCACCTGACTTTCGAAGCTATGCTAGACTCCCAACGCTAATGTGGTTTCTGTGTCTGAAAAACAAGGCACAGCAGCCGAAAAAGCAGGTACAAATTACTGCCATTTCCCCACTTTGAAAGACATACCTGTTGTTGGCTGAAGATACACAAATCATCTAGCTGGAATCAATCGGGAAAAAACTATGTGGACTGGATGCCTTGGCCAGCCACTGTCAGTAAGGCCGTGGGTACCAAATTCTTTGTTTACTTGCTCTGTAGAAGAACAGTGAAAAACAGGGGGGACAAAGTTGTACCAGCAAAGTACTTTGTAGCTACGCATTCCTGATAAATCATGGTTTGCTTGATAGTATCCTTTCTAGAGTTTAAGTAAAAGAAGTTGTATAGAATTGAGGGTTGTCTCTGTGTGTGCATCCTTTGCTGTTCTCTTGTGATAACCAGCGAGACAGCTCCAAACTGGAAATATTTAATTCTCTCTCTCCCCTCCCCTCCCCTCCCCCCCCACCTCATTTCTTTTCTTTTTAATTCGTTTTAGCTGGCTGCTGTTCACTTAGTGGATTCTCATTACTGCACAGACCCCGGCAAGTTCATCTCCGTTCTCTGCACTTCCCTCTCCACCATGCTGCACGTGGCACTGCCCCACATTAATGTCCTCTCCAAAATGGACTTGATTGAACAGTACGGGAAACTAGGTGAGAACTGGTGTGAGGTGGTTTGAATGGCCCGGAACAGGTGGATGATTCTTCTTAACTAAAATGCCCTTGAGAGGGCAGATTTAGTTCAAAATGTGGCTAATCTGATCCTGTGGCCTGCAACGGGTTATAGCACAGGGGTGAGGCATACCTTTGTCAGGTTCTATAGTCAGATCACACCACACAGCGCTTCATAAGAAGTATTCTGTTTATTGGTGGTTCATAACTATGACACTTGAATGGTTTTTGTCAGGAATGGCCCAAAGCAGCAGGGCCCCCAAAGTGATAGTTGTTTCAAAGCACACACACACCCCATTACAAGCATAAGCCAATAAGCATTGTGCATGACCCCACAAGCAAGAGAAAGAAAAGTGAGTGGAAGAAAGTGAGCCGTTCGTTCCCAGCAGGTCAGGAGCAGCTGGAAGCCCAAGGTCAAAAAGGCATACACAGGTAACAACCCAGACAGGAGACATTGTTAGTGTACCAGGAGAGAGGATCACTCCCCACACATTCCGAAGACATGGCAGTGTTAACTGACAACCTTTTATATTCATAAAGTTCCAAGTTTTGTCCTTGACACCCCAGTTTAAAGGATCTTGCCATAGCAGGTGCTTGGCCAGACCTCTGCCTGGAATGGACAGAATGGCTGCTGATAACAGAAGACAGCCCTGGGATAGATGGGCCATTGGCCATGTTTGGGAAATGATTACAGAACCTGTGTGTGTGTGTGTAACGTGCTGTCAAGTTGCAGCCAACTTATGCTGGCCCCAGCAAAGGGCTTTTAAGGCAAGTGAGAAGCAGAGGTGGTTGACCATTGTCTTCCTCTGCAGAGTCTTCCATGGTGGTCTCCCATCCAAGTACTGACCCTGCTTAGCTTCCAAGATCTGACGAGATCAGGCTATACCATGCCCCCTCCTGTCCTTTCAGAACCTTTAAAGGTGGCAAAATTGAGCAAAAGCTGTGGATTCCTGAGCCATTCCATTAGAAGAGTGGATGAGCTTAGCCCAGCAAAACTAGTAAGCCCTCGTTAACCCCAGCTACTGCAGTTGTGAATGGTCTTTGTACTCAACGGCGTTTGAAATTTTACAGAATCATGTCTGGAACTGGATTTCTTGCATTTGGTGTCTTTTTCTGACCGTATTGTTTACAGCTCTTTCTTTTCTCTGCACCATGTGTTTTTGTCAATTAAGGATCTACCTTCATGCATCTGTAGAAGCGAGCTCTAGTCTGTGAAAGGAAGAAAAACATGTTAGTCATTAAGATGCCACAAGCTTTCTCTCATAGAATTGGCACACACACACCCCAGCCTCTAATGCCTATATACAAGGCAAAAAACATGGAACCAGTGTAGTGTTTCCTATGCTGAGCAAAGGTTGAGCTGTAGATTTTCTATCTATGGGGTGCTTGTTAAAAATGCGAGAGAACCACTTAGGGATTGCTGTGTGCCCAGGTTGCCTTGAGGAGGCAGAAATATGGCAGTCAAAGATAAAATCTGCACCTTTTGCCCTTGCATGTCTTGGGAGAATGCAGCTTTAGTAAATAAACCCTAAAGATTTCTTTTCCCCTGTTCACCTGCCTTGCAGCCTTCAATCTAGATTATTACACAGAGGTTCTGGATCTTTCCTATCTGTTGGAACACCTGGCTTCAGATCCCTTCTTCAAGAACTACCGTCGGCTGAACCAAAAGCTTGTGGAAGTGGTTGAAGATTACAGCTTGGTCTCCTTTGTTCCCCTCAATGTGCAGGTAGACGAGTCTGTTTTGGGAACATGCGTCTGCCATGCATCAAAAGCTGGTTAGGCCGGGTTTTGTTTGTGGACTGCTGATGGCAGACTTCCTTCTGCTGGAAAGCAAATAAGTAATTTTTGGGGTTCCGTCTTTATCTCCTTTTCAGATTCTCTGTAATATGTTGCTACAGCGTTTAAATGATCATGGTGAAAAGTACTGGGTTTGATACATCAGGACACGGACCATGACATCGGAGAAGACGCATTTATTAGTACTTGACACGTGGAACAGAAACTAATGGCCGGCTGGCCAACTTTATACAATTGTGGAGGGACCCCCCTAGGTCCTATTGGCGGGTTTAAACTTCCCGCCAATGTCCCTATTGGCTCCTTACTTGTAGTTCAGGAGCCTAGTCCCTATTGTCTTCTGGATTGAAGCTCTAGCTGCCTCTGGCTGGCGTCAGGCAGTATCAGAAGACATAACTCATGGGTTGGATTCTGTTTATACAGTGATATTCCATCCCTCCTCCAAGGAGCTCAGAGCAGCATAGATGATTTCTTCCTCCTTTTTGCCGTCACAACAAACCGGTGGGGTAGGTTAGGCTGAGAGAGGGTGACTTGCCCAAGGTCAAAAAACAAGCTTCATTGCAGAGTGCAGTTCTGAACCTGGCTCTCAGGTCTCAGTTGGATACTGTAACCACTGGCCCACACTGGCTCTTGGCTTTCTCCTGTGAATCCGTTTCACTTAACAGGAGTGCCTTCAGCTGGCCAAAGGAGCCTCTGGTGGAAGAGGTGTGTTCCGCCAGAGGGCAAGGCCACCACTGCTGGAACTAATGCATTAGCTCTAGTCCTGTGGTGGTGCAAAGTGCAGTCAAGTGGCAACTCCATAGGGGTTTCAAGGCACGAGATGTTTTATTTGTTTATTTATTTATTTATTTATTTATTGGGATTTTTACCCCGCCCTCCCCGCAAAACGGGCTCAGGGCGGCTTACAAGGGGAAAGCCCATATAAAACAGGATAAAAGCAATGAAAACATTAATAACAATTAGTCACAACAACAATAATATTCAGTTGAAAGCAGGATGGTCCCCAAAAATATACAGTGATGGTAAAACAGTTCTCTGGGGATGATGTTGTCCTGTAGCTGATCCCAAGCAAATAAGTCCGATAATATCGATCGCGCAAAATTGTGGCAGATCTTCCTGGGCCATCCTTAGCCCCGATGTTGTGGTGGTGGTAGTGGCTGCCCCTATGTGAAAGCCTGGCGGAAGAGCTCCGTCTTGCAGGCCCTGCGGAACTGCATAAGATCCTGCAGGGCCCTGATCTCCTCCGGGAGCTCGTTCCACCAGGCAGGGGCCACCACCGAAAAGGACCTGGCCCTAGTCACGGCGAGGTATCTAGTCCTGTAGGTTTTACTAAATTAAATAAACATACAGTGTGCGATGTGGCTCAGAGAGAAAGCCGTGAAGTAGGATGTCCCCAGTTCAAATCGTTGTTCTGCCATGAATTTGCTAGATGGCCCAAGGTAAGCATCCTCTCTCTCAGCCTTGCTTTCCTCCATCTGTAATGTGGGATAATAATAGTGGTCTGTCTTACAGACTGCTATTATGGGAATAATTTAAGATGATATCTGTTTGAAGTTATGTGTTGTTTTAAACTAAAACTCAGGAAGTGGTAAACAAATGGTTTTTTTAATTACTGAGACTCTGCAAGCAAAATCAAAGAGAAATGCATAAGGAGCTGCAGAGTTAAAACATACTGGAAGAATTTTTAAAAGGGTTCCTTTTTGAGACATTATTCCAAGGAAAGAATTAAGGCACCATTATTTAGATATTTATACTCTGCTTTTCACCCAGATGGGGAACCCAAAGCAGCTTATGTATCATTCTTTCCTCCAGTTTATCCTTGCAACAACCCTGTGAGTTATGTTAGGCTGAGAGAGTAACTGGCCAAAGGTCACCCAGCAAGCTTCCATGGCAGAGTGGGGATTTGAACCTGGGTTTCCTAGATGCTAGTCCAGTACTCTGACTGCTACACTAAACTGGACTTTCTGAAAGAGTCTGAAAGAAAGCATCGTGTTGATGCAGAACACAGGGAATGCTCAGTGTTTAATAAGAAGTGGGGGACTTGCAAGGACTCATGGGAGGCAACTCATTTTCCCCTCTACCACTATTTCCCCCTTCCCTGAAGGGCCCCGTGGATTCTCCCCTTTTCCTGCTTCCTTTTCTCCTTCATGCCCACCAGCCAACCTACCTTTATTTGCTCCTTTTTCTTCAACTTTCCTTCCTTCCCTCCTGCAGCAGCTTCTCCCTGGGAAAATTCTGTGTTGTGCTGACCACAGGGGACAGGCCTGGTTGTGTGGTGGAGAACCTGCAAGGACTTGTGGGGGGGACACCTCACTTTCCCCTGTGTCCCACTCTCCCACACAATTTCCTTTTTTCCTTCTCCTGGCAATACCTTCATCTTTCTTTGCTTCATTTTCTCCTTCCCACCCACCAACTTTTTATCTGCCCCCCCATCTTCAACTATATTTATTTACTTCATTTATACCCCACCTTTCTCCACAGTGGAGACCCAAAGCAGATTTACAGCATTCTCCTCTGTTCCATTTTATCCTCACAAGAACCCTGTGAGGTAGGTTAGGCTGAGTATGTGTAACTGGCCCAAAGCCATCCAGTAAGTTTCCACACCAGTGTGGGAATGCAAACCTGTGTGTCTTAAATTCTGGTCTGAAACTGTAACCACTACACCATACTGGCTTTCGTAGGGTGGCCACCATTGAACAGTAGGAAGCAGCCAGGTTTAGGTGAGTCATGCAAGTCATGTGGTAGCAAACTGGGCAGTGGTTGTTGCCCGGCCCCGATGAGTCCTCCTTCTCGGGCCATAACAGCCCTGGAAAGGGCCCTGCCCCCTCCTCCTGCTTGTTACTAACAGAAACCAAGGCTTGAAAGTTGGCAGTACTGTTGTGGTCACCTAGCAACAGCTACAATGCCCACTGAGAGGGCACTCATTACTTAAGAAGAAGAAGAAGAGATTGGATTTATACCCCGCCCTTCACTACCCAAGGGAGTCTCAGAGTGGCTTACAAAGTTCTTTCCCTTCCCCTCCCCTCAAAAGACACCCTGTGAGGTGGGTGGGGCTGAGAGAACTCTGACAGAAACTGCTCTTTTTCAAGAACAGCTGTGCCAGAATTATGGCTTGCCCAAGGTCATCCAGCCAGGTGCAAGTGGAGGAGTGGGGAATCAAACCCAGTTCTCCCCGATTAGAGTCCGCGCTACAAGTTGTCCTTTTATCATCTGGGGCGGGTTACTCTAATGTGTGTGTATGTGTGTACATATGGATATGTTTCAGATTTTTTTTGCAAAGGTGGGGCATTTTTGAAGTTTGGCGTAAGTCTGTCTGTGGCCCCAGTCTCCACATTTAACTATCTGCAGATGGGGCCATGCTGAAAATTAAGATATATTGATAGGAATATAATAAGAATACAAGGCAGCATCATTGAAACGAACCGACTGCAGCAGTTTTGGAGGAGAGAGCCAGCTGTAGGCAGTCTGGTCAGCATGGCAACTGGAGGGTGGGGGAACGAAAGAACTGTGACAGCAAAGGAAGTGGTTATTAAATGATGGGACAACAGCTTGGTGATGGGGACCTGTTGACAGTTCGCATATCCACGTTCCTTTGCATGATGACTGCAGAATCAGGAAGGGTAATGCGCATGTACAAAATGAGCCATCACAGCCCAAGCTCTCCACATTGAGATTTCTTGTCCCACCAATAGAATGCCTTTATGGTGACATCTTTTCACACATGACAAGAAGTCAAGTCACAGTCTGTGCCGATGAACAGTTGGATGGCACATTGGGGGAGTCATGCAGCTTTGTGTGTCTGTCCCTCTGCCCAGGACAAGGAGAGCATGCAGCGTGTGATGCAGGCAGTGGACAAAGCCAACGGCTACTGTTTCGGCGACTCGGAGCAAAGAAGCCTTCAAGCCCTGATGTCTGCAGCCGTGGGAGCCGATTTCCACTTCATGTCGTATCCTTCTCATTCATCCTTCCTCCCCATTGCTCAGAAGTTGGATTTTTATATATATATACACACACACACACACACACACACACACACACTCAAGTGGTTAAGACATTGAACTGCAGGCTGTGGAAGGTCAGTAGTTCAGCAGTTCGAGACCCGAGTTGCCGCATGATGGAGTGAGCTTCCGTCTCTGGTTCCAGCTCCTGCCAACCTAGCAGTTTGAAAGCAAGAAATTGCAAGTAGATAAATAGGTACAACTTCGGTGGGAAGGTAACAGCGTTCCGTGCGCCTTGGTGTTTAGTCATGCCGGCCACATGACCACGGAAACGTCTTCGGACAGCGCTGGCTCTTTGGCTTTGAAACGGAGATGAGCACCGCAACCCTAGAGTCGGATTGACCTGGCTTTCGATCAAGGGAACCTTTACCTTTTATATATATATGTGTGTGTGTGTGTGTGTGTATGTGCCTCGGGAATTAGCAGTCACAGGGGGTTGGAGAAACCTCCACACAAAAAATTTTGAGGGCCCATTTTCTACCAGAAGGGGCAAGGGCATAAGTCCAGTGGTTGAACACCTGCTTAGCATACAGAGGTCTCAGGTTTGATCCCTGGCCCCTCTGCTGAGATGGTGCTGGGTTTCATGACCCAGTCATTAAATACTGCAGAAGGCAGGGTCATGTCTCTTGACAGGGTCTGCAACTATGGTGACATGCTGCAATACCTTTAATAGTGCTGGGGAAGGGGAGACATTTGGGCAGCTGCTGTTTGTCATGTCAAGCTGTGAATGGGTGAATGTTTTGTAAGCAGAAGGTTCAGTCCCTGGTCACTCCTGTGAAAGGATCTGAAGTTACAAGTGTTGGGAAAGACCTTTCTCTAATGGACACTCAGGAGAACTGCTGCCAGACAGAAGAGACAATATGGAACTAGATGGACTGGCTTGGCTGGCACGGCACATGCTCTCGACTCCAGAAGGTCCCAGGTTTGAGTCCCAGGAATCAAAAACAAAAGCCTTTTTTATTAAGGTCAGCCAAAATAACACAACTCAGTGCACAAGCTTTCAAATTCTCCAGAATGTTTTGTCAAACTGCATGTTTTGTTTTGTTTAAAAGAAGGGGAGAGAGATCTTTCAGGCCATGATACCAAAGTTTTCTTTATCTGTATTCTGTGCAGAATGACCCAGGGTGTGGTTAACTGGTGTCAAGCTGTACCTCTGGAAGCTGCCCAGTTGCAAACAGAACAGCTGGTAGTTGATCTAATTAACTGAATCAGTAGTAGCATTAATTGTGTTATTAATATTGTAGTCTTGAATATCGATACAAGAAAGAATGCTGACTCCATTGCCTCTCTTGTGCAGAGTGCCTGCTATGTGTGCATCAGCTGAGCTTCCTGCTTTCTCCTTAATTCCCAAATAACCAGCACCCTGGCAGTCCAGGAGAAATACATCCCACCACAAGAGAGCACTGTGAAGCAGGAAGACATGGACATGTAGTAATGTGCTTGCAGCTGCCAGCAGGCCACCGAGGAAGGATAACTTGGCCTGGTGATGAATGATGTGTTTCTTTGCAACAGGGGGAGCAATTTCAGCCTGGTCCTCTGTGTGCAAGAAGTCTACCAAACTGGCTGTCACCAAGTACATCACCCTTTTGGGCTCCTTCCGGATGAGAGGCACAACTTCTAGATGTTTCTGGTGCAGTCAGGAGCCTTGGCAAGCAAGAGCAGGCAAGCCCAAACTTTCCTCTCAGGAGGATGCTAGAACTTGGAGCATATTTGTAACTGACCAAAGGACAAGAGAGAGTATGGCAAGGCTTTTGTGAGGCCCAGATGTAAGTTGGAGGAGGCTGTAGTCCCAATCAAATCTCCCATTAAAGGGAAAGCAGCTTCGGTTGCTAAGAGGCAAGTTTCTGTCAGAGGCAACCCAAGTGACATCTCCGCTGTTGAGCAGTATGGAGACCTCAAAGAATTGGTGACTTTTCTTCTCCTCTTATCTCTCTCTCTTTTGCTGCCAGTAATGCTCCATCTCCTTTAGGCCTTGTGAAAGTGAAGCAAATAAAAGCACTTGACAGCACAGAGGAGAGCAAATTCCATCTCCCCCCCCTCCCCGGGTCTGCGCCTTTTTTATATACGAAAAAGCTGTGTTGGCTGCTAAATAAAGGAATTTCCATGCTGTCCGCTCCTAACTGGTTATGTGTGTCTGCCTGGATGGCAAGCCTTTCACTACTGCGGCTGCCCCCTTGCTTTTAAAATAACACTATAAAAAGAGGGAATTTCTGGAGGTCAGACTTTCACCCTGCAGTGTTGTGGTGTTACCAAGTTCTATGCCACTGTTCCAAGACTGCAAAAATATAAATCAAATCCAAAGCCTTTTATTGGCATATAAATAAAGATACAGTAATCTAAATAGAAAATCATACAGAGTGAAATTAAAATTTCAGAGTAACATCATAATAAAACCTAATTCATAATATCACTTATCAGGCCGTAGGACCATGGCACTGCAGAGAAAC